TTTTTTTGGTTTTTCTCCGGTACCGGGAACCGAACTCACGACCTTGCGCTTGCCAGGCAGGCGCTTTTGCCGCTGAGCTAAATCCCCAGCCCCATCGGGCTGCTGCTTTCTTAACGCCGCAGTCAGTGCCCGCCTGTGCCGTCACTGTCTCTCGGCGCTGCTCTCCTGGGTGCTGATTCTTGGATTTGCGTTCCTGAGGGTTTCTCGACCCCAGATTTACTCTAGGAAGGAGGGGAAAACAACCAAGAACCTCTGAACTTAGTTTTGTTGGGAAATGAATAAAGAAAAAGTTTAAATAACAAGTCTGTTGGAAAAATTCAGTTAGAGGATACCCTACCTGTAATGAGGAACTTAAGGCAGCCCCTGTAGATATATTTCTGGCTCCAGGGACCCTGATGAGATAGATACATTTTTCTTCCTTATAAACTGGGTCTTTCTCTAAGTATTTCATGCTGAACTACCTGAGTGAGTTACCCTCATTTTTCAGGGTTAATTAACTAGGGAGACCAGTTGCAGACTTGGTTTTGGAATCCTCTAGCATTGTATCTAGAATGAGCCCAGGTCATACTCACTGAAGTGAATAAATAAACATGGAGAAAACGATTATCACAGAGAACCCATCTTACAACAAATTAGATTCTAGCTTTACGTTTGTACGTTGCAGCACTTGACTAGGTGGGCCCATCACTAGGACTTAGCCACCGTCTGTGAGGACTTGGGTCCAACCCCAACACCGCAAAGCATTGAAAATAAAAAAACACAGCTCTGGAGAGAATGGTTTGAGAGTAGTAGCTCCAGTAAACCACTGAAGATCTTTTTCCCTCCAGTTAGTTTTTTTCTCCAGTTAAGTTTTTTACTTTTTTTTTCTTAAGCAATGCTAGAGATTGAACTCAGGGCCTCTGCCACAGAGCTGTAACCCCAGAACATCTTGACTTTCTTAATACCACATATTTTGGCTTTCTTCCTGTTACTCCCTTCTCCTTGGAGATTCATTTTACTGTTCTATTGGAGTCTTTCAGAACTTACTCTGAGAAGAATTAACAAATTTTAAAACTAGAATCAGAGTGCATTGTCTCAGGCCTCTAATTCCAGCATTCTGGGAGGCTAAGACAGGAAGGTTGCAAGTTCTAGTCCAGTCTTGGCAACTTAGTGACTCAAAATTTAAAGATATAGGAAAGACCAGGGTTAGCTGGATGTGGTGGTGCATGCCTGTAATCCCAACTCTTCAGAGGCTGAGGCAGGAGGATTGTTGCAAGTTTGAGACCAGCTTGGGCTACAAAATGAGCTCACGGTCAGCCTGAACTGCATAGCTGGACCCTGTCTCAAAAAGACTAAAAAAAAAAAAAAAAGACAACGACCCGAGTTATACCTAAAGGGCCATAACTGCCTCCCCAAAGAACCCTGGATGTTCATATACTTTGTGAATTTTATAATCTGTTCTTCACTTTCTACTGCAAAACATCCTTGCTTAGAGTTTGATATGTGTTGCAATAAATCTATACTTCAACTTGAAAACAATGAATGTTTTAATACTTAACGTGTAATGAATTAAACCTATGTAACTCTTCATTTATTTAGGTCTCTTGAGTTCTGTCACTGTTTCCCTCCTGGCATATTGATCTAACACGTTCTGTAATGTATTTCTTCCTGTTATATTTTTATGCTGTTTTAAATATTTTTCTAATTTAAAATTGTTCATTGCTGTTATACATAGAAATAGCTTTTCAGTCGCTCTTCTATCCTGTGACTTCACTCAAGTATTTACTTTTAGCTGCTGCTTTTTGTAGCTTCTTTAGAATTTCTACATGAACAATTATGTCTATATTAGTAAAAGATAGTGTTACTTCTTCCTTTACACTGTGTATCCCTATTTACTTTGCTTATGTGATTAAGAGCTGTTTGTTTGAGCCAGGGTCTCATTGTATAGCCCAAGCTGGTCTTGAACTTTTGCTCTTCCTGCCTCAGCCTCCCTAGTCCTAGAATTACAAGCATGAGCCACCACACATGGCTTTGACTTGATATAAAGAAAATTATGTTAGCTACTTTTAATTTACATGTAACTATTAGCTTCTTCTTTGCAGAAGACGCAGTACCTGAAACCACAGCCTCATGGAGGAAATGTATAGTATAGTATACAGTTTCTGGAGAGTCAGTCCTTGGGGTGCTGGCTGTGAGGTAGAAACCTCATGGCAGAGGACACGAGGGAACAGTGCCAACAAAGAAAGGGGCAGGGACCATGGAAAGTACCAACGCCACGCCTCCATGACCCCCGTGACACATACATTTGACGGATATGCTTTACTAATCCCAGGATGCCTTAGTCCTGAGAAATTGACTTATCAGGATAATGGTCACAGTAGCCATGAAAATAGCTATGTCAAGAATAGTCACATGCTTCTAATTTCATTACACATTGTTTTCTTCCTACCAGGTAAGAGACGTCCTTTTTTTGTCTTGTTTTCTGTTGTAGGCCCTGGAGATGTACAAGGACGATTGGAACAAAGTGTCTGAGCATGTTGGAAGTCGCACTCAAGATGAGTGCATCCTCCACTTTCTGAGGCTTCCCATCGAGGACCCATACTTGGAGAACTCGGATGCTTCCCTCGGGCCGCTGGCCTACCAGCCTGTCCCTTTCAGTCAGTCAGGAAACCCAGTCATGAGCACTGTGGCGTTTTTAGCGTCTGTGGTGGACCCTCGTGTAGCGTCTGCTGCAGCGAAAGCAGCTCTGGGTATGAACTCCCCTGAGCCGTCTTTCCATCAGAGGAACTTTATTGGTCTCATATAAGTACTGTCAGCTGTCGCATTCCCTGTAAATAACCAGAAATACCAGAAATTACTCCTTAAAAGTATCATGTGCTTTATCAAAAGTGTAATAGTTTTAGAGTACTTAAATTTAGTACCTTGTAAATGAAGGAGATATTTTATTAAGAATTGAAAAAACAGTTGGATGTGGTGGCACAGGTCCATAATCCTATCCCTCAGGGGGCTGAGGCAGTAGGAGCACAGCAAGTCTGAGGCCAAGAAAAGAAAAAAATTGAAGTAGTAGCATCAGGTGTGATGGTATATGGCTATAATTGCAGCACTCTGAGAAACTGAGTGGTGGACCACAAGTCCAGGTCAGCTCGGGCAACTTGGCAAGACCCTGTCTCAGGATAAAAAAGACTAGGGAATTTAGGATTAGAAATTTATCTCAGTGTGAAAGTCCCCAGTACAGAAGGGAAAGTAAAAAAGGAGGAACAAAAGTATATTTCATGATATAGTTGTGATTAATTTGGAATTTCATAGAATTGAGAAAGGAAATTGTTTCATATTCTTGGGTTATATTAATTTCTTTCCTTTTTTGGCACTGGGAATTGAACTCAGGACCTCAAGCTTGCCAGGCAGTCCCTGTGCCACTGAGCTACATCCCTAGACCATGGGTTATGTTAGTTTCAACCAGAAGTTTTTCACCATAGAATTTTATTTTTTAGATAGGAACTCCCTGTGTAGCTCAGGCTGGCCTTGAACTTGCAGGGATCTTCTGCCTGGTTCCTCAGGATTATCGGGATGCCTCAGCACACCCAGCTTCACCATAGAATTCTTTTCTGGTTTTATGATTGTTTAATGCTTGTGGTGTTTTAATTGTCAGTCAATCTAACTATTGAAAAATACTGATTGGTAGTCAGAAATTTCAGATTTCTTTTTCATAAAATACTTGGGCAGGTGGGATAAAACCTGAAGTCAGAGTTTTGCCACTGCTTTTCTTACTTTGCCCTAATGTTTTGCTTGTGTGGGGCCTCAGCCCCAAAGAGGCCACTGCACCCCAGAGAACATTGTGGGGCTCCCCCACTGACGTGCATTCACACAAAGTGAAGGCGCTGTTCCACTTCTGCTGTTGACAGAGGAGTTCTCTCGAGTCCGGGAGGAGGTGCCCCTGGAGTTGGTTGAAGCGCATGTCAAGAAAGTGCAAGAAGCTGCTCGAGCCTCTGGGAAGGTGGATCCCACCTACGGCCTGGAGAGCAGCTGCATTGCAGGCACTGGGCCCGACGAGCCGGAGAAGCTGGGTGAGTCCCTGTGCCCATGGCAGAGCTCCCTGGTGTCTGTGTGCCGTTGGCCTGTCCTTGCATGAGCGTGGCAGGCAAAGTGAACTGGGCTCTTGAGTCTCGTGGTGGTTTCTTTCTCTTAATTTCCCTTTTTCATGGTAGCTAGGACTGAGAAAAAGTCATGGCTGGTAACGTTGTTAGAGTTAGGAAATATTTGGTGGCTGTTGCTCTAGGTTTTGAGCATATGGAGATAAGAGTACTACTAACAGGGCTGTGTTCAATTTATATGTTGCTAAATTAGTTAAACTTATGTCTTTTTTTAAGTTAAGGTTAAAGTCTTACAACATTCCCCATTTTAACCACTTAGAAGTTTATGATCTTCAGGCTTCTAATATTTTCTCTGAGCTGTACATCTTTCACTATTATCTAATTTTAGAACATTTTTCATTATTCTAAAAGGAAATTTCAGACTCCCAAAGTCCTTCTCATTCTTCTTTTCAACTCTGTTAACTACCAATTTAGTATCTATCTCTGTGGGTTTACCTGTTCACATTTCTTATAAAGGAAATCATAAGTATATGGCCTTTTCTTTCTGGCTTCTTTCAGTTAGCCTTTATGGAAGGTTCATGTTGTAGCATGAATCAGTACTTCATACTTTTCTGTGCTGCATAGTTCTCCTTTGGATGGATATACTAGAGTTTATGAGTGTACATCAGTTTGAACATTTGCACAGTTAGCACTTTTATGCTATTAGAAATAATGGTAATAATGGATATTTATTTGCAAGCTTTTTGTGAACAGAGATTTTTTTCCCTTCTGTTGGATATCTGTTTAGGAGTGGAAATTCTCAAGTTAGTTCTTGAGATACTGCCAAGTTGTCTTACGTAGTGACTATACCATTTTATTTTCCCACTAGTAAGGTACAGTTTGATTTCTCCACATTCTCACTAACACTTAATTTCCCCTTTTTTCTTTTAATAGCCATCCCATTGTCTTTTTGTGATTATCTTCCTTGACATGTTTCTTTCTCAAATGTTCACCCATTTTAATAGAGTTTATTTCTTAGAACATTTTTAGGTTCATAGGAAAATTGAGTGCTGTGTAGAGTGATGGTAGTGAATTTGTTACAGTCAGTGCAACTGTTGACACATCGATACCATCCAAAGTCCAGCTTAAGTTGGGATTCACTCTGGGTATTGCACATTCTGTTGGTTTTGACAAATGTATAGCATGTATCACAGATACATTACTATACAGAATAGTTTCACTGCCTTAAAGGTCTTGTGTATTCTGCCTGTTTATCCCTCAAAGCTTCTGGCAACCACAGATCCTCTTAGGTTTCCATAGATTTGCTTTTTCCAAAATTTCTTAAGTTGGAATCAAACAGTATGTAAGTGTTTCAGAGACATTGCAGTAGTTCTGGTACAAATTTTTGAAAAGACTGACTTTGTTCCATTGTATTGGCTTTGTTCCTTTTCAAGGATTGTTGACTGTGTATGTATAGGTCTTTCTGGGCTCCACTCTATTAATCTGTGTGTCTATTTTTCACTAGTACTGTACCATCTTGATTGTTGTAGCCTTATATTAAATTTTGTTCAATAGTGTCAGTCCTTATACTTTATTCTTTTTGAATATCACGTTGGCTAAAATCTTACACATATTTTATTTGTGTGTGTGTGTATGTATGCTGATCAAAAAATATAGATTGTTTAAAAATTTTATAGTAAGTGACACTTGCCATTAATTCCCCTGAGAACACTCCTCCTCGCTTTAAACACACTCATCTCGTTGTTACTGCTACTTTTTGGGAGCAGTTCTGGGACTTCTCTTTCATGAGTCTCTTTAGAAAGTATGATAAAAAAATTGGTAGATACGGCCAAGTGCCATCCAGCAGAAAGGTGGGCTCTTAAACCTGAATACTTCGGCTTTAGTTTAGAAGAAAACGATTCATACACTCAAAGGAAAACATAGCAACAGAGATTTCAGTGATGAAATAGCCCACTGCAGCCCACAAGCCATAGATTTGCCACTACTGGTAGAGGGGTTGAGTCCAGGGCTTCATGCGGGCTAGGCAAGTGTCCCTCCACGGAGCCACATTCCATCCCTGTTCAAATTTTTATTTTGATTGGAAGGCTGAGGCAGGAGGACCGCCTGAGTTCAAGGCCAGCCTGAAATTTTGTTTTTTAATTTTGGGACAAGCCTTGCTGACTTGCTGAGGCTGGCCTAGAAACTGTGATCTTCCTACCTCAGTTTCTTTAATAGCTTGGATATGAAACCTCAATGCCCAGCTCTATACCTGTTTTGCTGTGAGTTATGTGTTTAATCACGAATAGGTGTTGAATCTTGGCAAATTACTTTTCTGCATCTCTTGCTAATGTCAGGTGATTTTTCTTTGTCAGTGTGTTGAGGGGCATTGGATTACATTAACTGATTTTAACTGATTTTTGAAAGTTGAATCTACCTTTCGTACTTTGGACAAAACCCACTTTTTGTTTTTGTGTTTTTT